TTTGTTGTAACTTTAATTCATTTTGCTTTGCATTTTCCTTTTGGTTTATAACTTTAAAGGATTTGGAATTGGAATGCTTGAGAAGTTTAACTTTAATTGGAATGCTTGAAATTGTAACTTTAATTTTCTTAGGTTGTGAATGCTTGAGAAGTTGATGAGATTGTGAATTTATATATGTTTGAGAAATTGAGGTTGTGTATTTATTTATTTAGGTTGTGAATTTATATTTTTGTGAATGCTTGAGAACTCGCGGTTTTAAACCGCTAATTCGCGGTAACCGACCGCATTTTGTCGAACCGCAAATGCGGTTTGAATAAAAACGCGGTCGGTTTGCGGTTTCAAAAATCACCAAACCGCAAATAGTCGGTCGGTTTGCGGTTTGAATAAAAATTCGCGGTTACCGAACCGCAACCACCCCTAATCGATATGATCCACGCACTGTCTTTACAACCCGACCATAGTTTAAAATATCAATAATATCGGTATTTTTTTTTTCTTCGAGTCATAGGTATTTCAGAACGTATACATACACATATCGTTTAAATATCGACAATATCGACGATAATATCTAAAAATATTGATGTCGATAATTTTGCTCACACTTCAACAACATTTTGTCAAAATATCGCTATAATATCAAAATTATCGAAATTATCGATGTAATGAAAAAATGAAGAAAAAAAACACAAAGCACACATGCAAAGGGGATTCAAACCCCTGCCATTTCACTCCTCCAACGTCTTAACCACCATATTGCTTATGTTTTTATGATAATATGCTAAAATATGTATACTTTTCTTGTTTTGTTTTGAACTGTTTGTGAAAAAATCAAATTTTCACAAGAGAATGTGAGTCTTTGACCTTTCCCTTTTGGGATAGAAACGAGCAGCTCATAGAAAGAATCCGAGACCCAATCTTCAAATGATTTTGCTTATGGATGACGTCAACCAATCTCGGATCCATATGGATGACATGTTAACAATTACATGCAAAACTATTTTGGGGATTTATTATTTGATGACTACTCTTCACAATATACTTACTCTACACATAGAGATGATGAAGATAGTGAAAAATTTGAACCTCATAGGAACTCTATGTGGTATTAAATCTCTCATGTATCTTACGATGCAATGTATAAAGTGAATATTATAATAAATCATTATATATAAATGATTATATGTGTTTAATCTTCTTTCATTAATTACTTCATATTTTCTACACTCACAATGTTTGTCAGCTCGCTGTATAATAAACTTAAATCAATTAAATCCATCATGCAATGCATTTCCTTCCAATTTTTTGTGATATACTAACAGATAATTGGCTAAATAAACATCCTCCAAAGTTTCAATAAAAATTTCCATGGTTTTTATTCAATTTTTATCAATATCGATAATATCCCGATATTTTCATCCAAATTTCCGTATTTTTGAACTACCGATATTTCCGATACCATCGATATTTTAGACCTTTAGCCCGACCACATGAATGTTAACAAGCATGGTTAGCCCTTTTATCCTAAGAGCCTCCCTAGGCGCGAATAAAATGTTTTTGGGCTTTTTTTTGGCCTTTTGGGCCCGCCCACCTCCTTACGTGATGAGGACTTGTTTATGAACTCATTTTGGCATGCCCATTTCATATTTGATATCAATAGTAAGAATATAATTTGTGTAGAAATTAGGCATAAGAGAAGCAGCGTTACTAATCTTAGTTGGTGTCATCATACCAGCGATATTAGGATAGGGAAAAATTAAACTTCGTACCTAAATAAATGCTCATAACGACTTAAGTTACAAGTCCCTCTCTCAGTACATAATAACTTTGGTCTTCTTCCATCTATTTATATTTTAGTGAATGAATTATCTTCGGCTTTGGTGGTTAATTGAATTCAATTATTCATTCCAGTCAATTGGGGCTAGACGGGTCTTGATGCACATATTGGGCATAAATTTTATACAAATTTATAAATAAACCCAATCCTAGACATGTATTTATAAAAAAACCCAAGCACTATTTAAACATATAAACACACCCAAAACTCATCATTACACACACTCAAAAACCATTTATAAACACACTCAAAAAGTTGACTTTGGGGTTTATTTTGGATGTGTTTCTATGTTTAAATAGTGCTTGGGTTTTTTTATAATTTCAACCCCCATTTTGGGTGTTTTAGTGAAACTCCCTAAATTTTAAGGTCCAATATTTATTTGGGCTAATATTAGACCTTCCCCACCAAATAACACCCTGGCCAGTTGGTATTTGATGTCTTCCACTTGAGTTATGCAGGGCATATTGGAAAGGCTATAATGAGGGCTTAAAGTGAGGAGGTTATTTGAGGAGGTCAAATCTCATCATCAACAAATGTAAAGAAATCATGGAACTTAAATATTTTAAATGTTTTGACGGTCGGATCGGTCTCCTCAAATAACCTCCTCACTTCAACTCCTCATTGTATTGGTTTGAGTTTCTTTACATTTGTTTTATTCACAGATATCAAATAGATGGTACATGTGGAGTATACATCAAAGAGTACTGTGGTCCTGAGACATGTTGGCCTACCGTGAACTTCCCTCTCATTAACTTTATCCAACTAGTTACGCTTAAATTTTTCTTCGGAAAATAGTTTCAAATAGCATAATCATTATAACAAAGTTCTCAAATAGCATTGTTCATGTAACAAATCCACAATATCTGCACAATATTGATGCTTGAATTATGTCGTATCAAGATTATTTGGGATTGTTTGCTATCAAATTAACGGGATAATATAAATGGAGCTGATTTTCCCACTCTTCTTTTGTCCATTTACACTCCATTGTTGGAAATTGTATGTTTCCACTCTCCTTTTGTTCACTTACCCTCTTTTTTTTGTTATAGTAAAAAATATTGAAAAAAAAAGGAGTGTAAATTGACAAAAGAAGAGTGGAAAAATCAGCACCCAATATAAACAGCTTATCAAGATGATATCTATATAATAAGACTATTTGTTGCAGAATTAATATAATTGTAGCCTTATTATTAACAGAATTCTTGAATAGCATTATTTTTATGCTAAATCGATAATGTCGGCATAATATTGATATTTTATTTATGTCATATCAAGGCTATTTAAGACTGTTTGTTATCAAAATAATGGGATATCTTTATAATTAGACTATTTGCAACGATAATAGTGTTATTTCAGAAAACCAATAGTAACTCAACTTTGGCACGAACTTTAGCCGTTTGTAACTCAACTTTGGCATACCAATAGTCGTATGCCCTTCATCAATTTGTTCGGATACAATTATATTAAAATTTAAATTAAAGCAAAACCCTACGGGAGGCAAAAAAAACTTACCTACCTTCAATTTCAATGCATATATATATTCAAGTTGATGAGCATCGAATCTGTAATAAAATATAACTGAACCAATTCCCACCTCACTAAGTGTATGAATCAATTTTGGATGCAGAAAAGCTTCTCCAATTGAAATGGTGTTCATTCAATGATTGCCTCTGTACCCATCAAACATTAACCACATAGAATGGCTCATCACATAGACTTGAAGACAAAGACATAGAAGTAGACCTTTCCATGGGGGCTCTTTAGCCGTTTTAGGCCATCACCAGTCATGGGCTATATCCCAAATATAGTTATAAAATAATGCAAAACTCATGTTCAGTCATGGGCTAAACAAAATTTTGGCCAAATTTGGAGGGCCACATTTGGCCCTTTAGCCCTCCAATCGGACCACATTTAGATCAGCTTTGGCATAGTCCTAGGCCAAATTTTTTGTGGGCTCCATGCATGTGGATGTCAAACCATTGAAACTCATCCTTTTAAATAAATAAAAAATGTAGTCACCTTTTCAAATGTTTTAAGTGTTGTTTAAAAAAATTATAAAAAATTCTTGGTCATGGAATATTGTCTCTAAATAGTAGTTTAATTAAATTAAACAATACATAGTTGTAGAATGTATGTGTTGTACCATTGTTTTTCTCAAAATAATAAAATATGAATAACCCTAAAATATAGCCCTGCATGACTGGAGATGGAAAAATTTAGCCTTACACTATTCTTTAAAAAATTAATATTTTGAAGGACTAAATTTTTAGCCATTGATTATATTTAGCCATATGACTAGAGATGGCCTTAGAAACCAGCTAGCTACTATAAGAGCTAGGTGTGGCAATCAATTCTATGCAGAAAAAGACACCATACTGATGTGCATTTCATTATCAGGGCAATAAAAGAAAAGACCCACTGGGACCACAATCTTACCTTGTGAATTATTGAACAAAGTTGCGGACAAAGTTTGGTCCATTTGGATTTTCCATGTCCCAAAAGTTCTTTAGCCCTCTTTAGGTTACGTTTGGTTCACGGAACGGATTTGAGAGGAAATCACTTTCTATATTATTTTCCAAGGGATGAGAAATTGAGATTCTTTTCCCATATTTGGTAATTCTGGTAAAGTAACCAAGAAATACCACTTTATTTCCTTTCACATGTTTAGTTTGTGTAGGAATGTAAAACAAAGTTCGTTTAATTTTCCAATTATACCCATATGAAATCAAATAAAAAAAGCATGCATTTTATGCTATATTGTAATTCTAAATTGTTAATGGGGATAATATGATCATGCAAAATGTGTATTTAATGTTGGTTCATTTTTCCAAACTTTCCGTAAAGAAGGAAAATAAAACCCAGGGAGGATCATTGGAACTTACTCCTTACTCATCTTTTATGGTCCTCAAATTATTCAACTCTGCCATGGCCAACTGCCAATTCCATCAGTACAGAATGTTTCTGACGTTAAGAAACTGAGACCAGTGAAGAATGCACTGAAGGGTTAATGTTTTTTTTTTTTTTTTTTTTGAAAGTTGATTCGAGAAATTCCTCTTTTCTGGTTTTCCTCGAGAACCAAACAAATTTGTACGCTTACTTTTTGGCAATTAAGCTTTCTCGAAATGCTATGCAACAGAACAGGGTAATAGAAAAAGGGCAGGCTTAAAAGTTAAATATGCATAATGACATTGCACAATTAGGCACACAACTACTGTCCAATATTATAAATTTCTAATTCCATTACAATTGCTTGCGTCTGAATGAGCCAGAAGCAACTGCATTACATACTTTGGGATCACCTAGAAATAGAAAAGTAAAAGATCAAGCACAAAGACTACTCACACAATCTGCAAACACCAGATTAACTAAACAGGAAGGGAGTGATTCTTGAACTTTCTGAATCAAATCTTCCATCTCTTTGGTTCACTTGTATTCCAAAATCATGTTGTTCTCAGGAGCCAGACCAACACAAGCCCTCAGGATATTCTCCAGCATTGCCCTCTGCTTTGACAGTGCATTCACCACAGGAGTGCCTGGTGGAACCTGTTTTGCCAACAAACCACACCAGATTATTATAAATCACTCAGTAGTTTCAAGACTCACATGACCCAATTAATATTTTCGAACCTCCTTCCCCACTCTCATGTGAAGCCACCATGTTTTTTCAACTAAAAAACATAAATGTCAAATCAACTACTTGAAGCCCAATTCCCCCATGACCCAATTAATTGTGAAGCCACTTTGGAATCTTAACCAGAAAACATAAATGTCAAATCAACCATTTGAATTCTAATTTCCTCTTTCTGTCTTTCATTTCTGGATACCTCTCAAGAGCATTAATGTGCAAAAATAAATTCATGACAGCAACTGATGTATACCAATGACAGTGACAAAACCATTGATATTAGACTTACAAGAGGAGCCTTGCTGAGGTAACTGAGAATGGTTGCCAAAAGGAGACAGAAAAACATTTTAGCATAATTTCTAATGACAAGTCATTATTAATGCTACTATGACCAATATAATGTGGCTTCTAAATAATAACTGTTGCACAAGCACATCAAAAGCTAGTTATGCTCCAATTGTGAACAATTAAGCTAAAAGTGAGCAATTGTATTATTATTGTTACAAAATCAAATATACCTCTGCTTCAGATTTGAGCTGGATGCGAGTGCTGAGCTCAGCCAGGAGAACCAAATCAAGTATGATAGGAGCAGCCAAGAGGGAGTCTTCACAGGTGTTGTGCATCACAATGGTGTTTTTCCCACCCAAGAAAATCTCAGAAGTGTACTCATCCATGGCTCTCTTGCTATCTGCCACATACGGCACATACTTGATGACCACAACATGGTCAGGGTGTTCACCAGGCTCATAGAGGATGCCATTGCTAGAGACCATGTCATCCACAACATTGCTCTTTGAAATCTCTTTGGACCTGAAGGTTTGTGGGGCTGAAAGATTCATGCCATCATTGTTTCCAAGATGGTTATAGCTCACTATGGATGTTGGCTTGATGCCAGCCCCAACAAGGAAATCAACCAAAACTGATTTCATCTTGGTCTGACCACTCTTAAAATCATCCCCACCAATCAAACAGTTTCTCCTTATTGCCAAATCAATCAGCCCTGCCAATAATAGTCACATTCAATCACATCAAACACTTGATTGGAGTAAAGGGTTATTAGCTAAAAATTTTGGAAAATAAGAAAGAAATGAGAAAAGGGTATTTATTAGCCAAAATTTTTGCAAAAGAAAGAAAACATAAAAAGGGCTATTAGCTAATTAGCTAGGCTACCTGGGACAAAAGTGTTTTGCGGGCTTCCATTGATGAAAGGAACGTTTTCAAGAACACAAGCTATGGCATACAAGGTGGAAGGAGAAATCTCAGCTTCATTCTTGTCCACCGAACCCAAAAGGTTCTCCACGGTGTCGTTTAACCCCACAACCACATTACTGTACCTCTCAGTGTTGGCAGTCCACAGCACAACCACCTTGTCCACTTTGTTCTGCTCCTTAAACTCTCTGTTTAATTAGCACATACATAAAGCACTAATTAGCACCAAACTTTCTTTCCTTAAAAGGACAAACACTTGACAGTTAACACTGTAGATTTGTGTTAATTAATTAGATTTTAGTATTAACTAGTACCTAATGTCTTTGATGATTTGTTGGACTTGTTCCTTCTTGGTCCCCTTGATCACGTTGTTGGCACGTGCACCTTGGTTAGCAGCAATGAAATCAGGGTCATAGATTCCAGGGAGTGGGAGCATGGACTCCATGTATGGCCTCAGTTGCTTTTGCAGATCAATGTCCAGGACCCTGGCCCTAGCCATAGCATCTGCTAGGTTCATATCACTTATATCCCAACCCCCAAACACAATGTCATCTGGGTTAACCTGAAAACCAAATTTTTAGGTCTTAATTAATGTTAATGTATAATTTTACATAATTAATTAAACCAGAAGCAACTGAAACACCAATTAAGAAATCAAAAGTATAAAATTACCATTGGAAGCAGGCTCTTAAATGGGGCATAGATCTCTTCTCCATTGAAAGACCCAACACGGATTGATGAGGCTTGGGTCAGTGAGCCAAAGTAATTGGCTTGTTGCACCTTGTCCTTGGTTGCCCAGGAGATTCCTCTGATAATTTACAATACCCATATCTTACAAGTAATAAAAAATTCATGTACAGACAAAGTGGAACATTTAAAAAATATATATCAACATTTTAAAGCACAAACACAATCTGAACAACCATCACAATGATTAAAGCTTAAATTTGATTCCCAAATAAAAATTGTTACTAAAATGCAGGTGGAAATGAAGAAATTGAAGCACTCACTCTCTGTTTGCTATGACACCAGCAGTGAGGGTTGAGCCATTGTTTCCACCCCAGCCCACAAGCATTACCCTGTATCCCAAAAATCAACAAACACATCAAATCAATAAAAATCAAAACTTTAAGGCTTACCCAGAAAACTTATGAAAGACAAAATCATAACCCAACAATCAGATTTCATTTTTAATTTTGAAATGGCAAAACAAAACGGTCTGGGTTAGTGATGCAAACCCTAGTTTGGGGACATGGATATCAGTCTTGAATTCATATTTGACAGTCTTGGGCTTGACAATCCATTGGTATGTGCCCTTCCTGTCCTCATGGACAAGCTCAGTGGTCTCGTAGCTGTACACTGAATGAATCTCATTCTCTGTGTACTTTACATTAGGGGACTCTACCTTAAAGCTCTCGATGAACATTTTCTCAATCTCTGTTTTTGTTCTTCCTCCCCGAGAAAATTAGATTTTCTATGGAACCAAACAAAGACCGGAGAGAAGATAAAGATTAAGGTGTGGCACTACTTATCAGTTCTCAATCCTAGGCTTGTACTGCTCCTTCAACTTGCTCCAATGCGCTGTATTTATAGAGGAGATGTGACACTGCAGCTACACGTGGCTCAACTGAGTGGCTTCTAGTGCCTCAGTATTATTGGCTCTTGGTTTGGAGAAGCTTGGCCATGCAAATACAGAAAAACCCAAAAAATATGAATAAAGAGAAGAGAGAAGAGAAAAGGTTGCTTCTATTTAGACCTCTAATTTTCCCCATATAGTACATTATTTTTGTAAGTTCAAAATATAAAATTTTCCAATTTGGCATAATCGAAGAGGCAAAACTGATACGAAAAACTCTTAAAAGAAAATTTCATTTTCTTCCCTTTCGTAATGCCTCTTTTTGCAAGAATATGTATTATTGACGCTTCTTCGTTACACGAAAACGTTCAGTTGCGGAATCAAGATCTTATCATATTTGGGGGCAAATGTAAAATCCAAGGCCCTAAACTCCAAGGTATTTACCAAAGGAATATACTTCCCTCCTTGCAAGGTAAGTAAGAGTATCCACAATCATGCTCTCTATTTTTTAGTTAAATTTTAATTAAAAACATATAAAAGTTATTTTAGGAGCTCTCTATAAAATTTAAACTTCAATCATGCTCTCTAATTTAGGGAGTCATAAATGCTATAACTCTTTTTTAATTGGTCCATCTCTATTAAAAAATAAAATAAAAAATAGTTAGTTAAATAAAGGTTTGAAATACTCATTAAATAAAGCAGCATTAAATTATAGGGAGTCACTATGAATCCTTCCTCTCTCCTAATATTTAGGAGCTCCTAAAGATCTTCCTATTTTAGGAGGTGGATAGGGAGCATGGTTGGAGTTGTATTTTTACAATACCTCTCTAAAATTTGTCCAATGAGGTGGTTTAGGGAGCCATTGTGGATGCTCTAAGAGCTTCTATATTCCTATCAATAGCAGTATAACATGTGTGCATAAGTTTTTTTTGTGTGTTTTTGATGAATTATTTTGATATATGTATCAAATTGTGATTTGCAAAAAACAGAAGTATCTCCTTACATATAAAGAGACAAGTAATATCCTTTACGAAATCAACCTGCAACGGCACCACCTATCATATGTATATTATAATTTCTATACTGAAAATAAAGATGGTAAACCAAAAAGTAGATCAGCAAAATCCAAAATTGAAATAATCAAACAATTGATACACCGTGAACACCAAACCAGACAACCAACATGTTGTGTACATAAGATATAAATAAGATTTCGACCAATATATATAAGATTTTATCCCTCCGTATGGACTTTTGTCAAACACCTTGCCTCCATGGCACCATACTAAAACAAAGATTCAATAGAGATAATATGAGGGACTTCACATGTATCAAAAAGGCGAGTGGAGGTTATAGTCTTCATTAGGGGTGGTTGCGGTTCGGTAACTGCGAATTTTTGCCTAAATCGCAAATCGATCGACTATTTGTGGTATTGTGATTTTTGAAACCGCAAAAAGCGGTCGGTTACCGTGAATTAGCGGTTTAAAATCGCAAGTTCTTTTTGTGTCATAAAAATCCAATCTTCCACATTTTAGGCCTAATTTTGATGCTTCTTTTGAATCCTTTTGAGTTCAAGCATACTTTAACCCAAAAATATAAATTCACAACCTCAACTTCTCAAGCATATATAAATTCACAACCTCCTCAACTTCTCAAACATTCACAACCTAAAGAAAATTAAAGTTACAATTCCAAGCATTCCAATTAAAGTTAAACTTTTCAAGCATTCACAACCTCAACTTCTCAAGCACTCCAATTCCAAATCCTTTAAAGTTACACACCAAAAGGAAAATGCAATGCAAAATGAATTAAAGTTACAACCCAAAGGAAAAATCCAATTCAAAGTTAATTAAGTTACAAACTAAAAGGAAAATGCAATGCACCAATGTTACAAACTCAAGTATTGGTGGCGGTGAATGATTTGAAGGACCATGTTGTGTTGTTTGAGCACTAATGCTATCTACAAAATGCAATTTTTATTTTTATTTTTAAATATAGTCGCGGTTTACGGTAACCGCAAAGTTTTGAAAATCAAATACCGTAACCGCAACCGCAAATGCGGTTCGGTTCTTAATACCGCAAATGCGGTTCGGTTTACCGCTATTGCGGTTTCATTGCGGTAAATTGTCGGTTAGTTTTTGCGGTTTTTCGGTTTTTCTGGTTAAAATCCCACCCCCAGA